CCTGCGTTTACGTAGTTTGGAACCCCCAAGATGGTCATGTCTGACAAATATCCTGCCTTCGCAAATGTAAAAGCTAACGAATTTATGGAGAACAATATTAGAAGCCTAGTGGCAGCACCACACCAAGCCTTATAAAATTGCGCGACAGAGCAAGCTATAGGAAGCATGAAACAGCCTACCTTTTATTTACCAATGTTTAATAAGTAATTTTTTAGAGTCAGCGACTCACTTGGTTTGACTTCGTCTACCATCATCCAGGAATGGGTCAGCAATAAATAAAAGTTAACGAAGAGAAAAATGATATCTCCACGAAACCTCTTCAGATATAAGGTCAGTCTACACCCGCGATTAAGGTGCAGAAAAGTCGTTCGTTAGTCCAGCTAGTACATGTATACGCACCTGAACAGATAAACCTAGGAAAAAACTTAGGATAACGCTCCCAAAGACACTAACCTCTTGCGTAGGAGACGAACAGTTAAACTGCCTCCTGGATCAGGCATAGGTCTTGCAATATATCCATTCGCGCAAATCACAGTGAGGTCCAACCACTCGAATCTTCATTGACAGATAATGGGTGTGGGAAGCAGAGACTACCACTTAAAGCGTGCAGGTTGCTAGGGTTTGAAAAGCCGATTTAAGTCAGTCTTTCAGTTTCCTCGCAATTTTCTTTTACCGCGCGGTCGATAGATCTGCCATCGAGTCTTTTACACACAACTGATTGTCCCTCCCACTCCGTGCCTACCTCTGATTACTGACTGACAAATACGAATATGACCAGTGCTCTTGTGGATCTAACTGCTTTGACTCAATTAGTCCTAAACTGGTTGAAATAAGTCAACTAGAGTTGGCGTCGCAGTGCATGAGTGAATGATCATAAACATTGAGTCATTAAGGGTGCAGTTGACGCCCCGTGCAGTAGCTTTACTGTGGGCTGTGTTGCACTCTCATTGTTTATCGTGTCGAAAATTGGCGACACCGAAACTCTCACACCTTAACTGCTTCTTATTAAGTAGACCTGCGAAAATAAGTAAGCGTAGGCAAGTTAGCATGACGGTAAGCACCCAGGACTCCTATGACATGTGATCATCACCTGACCAACAATACGAACACATGTCCTGACTTTGTGACGTGATCGACTAGTTCAGCCAACGGAAAGTCAACCAATGCTCATGCATACACGCTCGCAGTTACTGGCTGGCCTTCTCGAAGTAGTTATCCTCTCTTTAGGTAACAGAAATCTTCCAATTGTGGTTAAGGTCTTACGGTCTCATAATATGTCGGTGGAATGCCACCTCAGAGCTGAAGGCTGTCAAGTTTAAGTGGCGCGAACGATCCAATCACAATCCAGGAGGCACCTATCATACATGCAGTGCTCCACCATGATCTGTGTAAGTTGAGCTCTTCAATGAAGTCTCTTCTAGGCACTGAAGCCCCGTTAACGAACGCTTGTGGATAGTCGTTGAACTTAAAAGTACCGAGCGATGCTTTATCTTGTCTCGTTTGGCAAAATAAATTGGTTGTAGCGTAGGATTGCTGTTCTATTTGAATGACTGCAGTGTGCTAGTGGGTTTACTTCATACGGGCAATTAAAGTGGGGTTGGCGTTCGATGATAAATTAATAACTGGGCTTTTATCGAGTTGTCAGCGATAGGATTACCATGCGACCAAAGTAGGAGACCGACCACCGACTTAGGAGGCGGGCAAGCAGGCAGGCAACGCCACCAAAGTTTGTCGGTTATTAGGGCATATAACTTCAGCATCATGACCTTATGCAGTTGGTGGGATGAGTCAGCAACGAGGGCCCCCACGCACGCTTCTTGAATTGGCAAATGCAGTCTCTAAGCTGATGCAGGCTTCGGTAGACGAGGGCTTTGGACATAAAAGGCTTAGTTCATGTCAGTTGATGAAACGCCGAACTAACAAGAAATTACGGGACTGGCAAACAGCGTCTTAAATCAAGTGCGTACTAACTAGTTTCACGAGTGACTGAACGAGGCATGAAAGCATGATTTGGAGGTTCTCTATAATCGGCTACAAGGTATACAGAATGTCCATATGGCCAGTAACAATAAAGGGTACTCTATAACAAGAAATGATCCCAAACCAAAAGCATGCTCAAGGTAAAAGAAAAAAGCAGATATAGCGTAGGTTGAAGAAATCTTTAAAAAACGAAATATAAAATGAACGGGTCAGTGTCTTACAGGCTTTAGGATCAGAGGTGGGAAAGGGGGTACCTTGTTCAAAATACACACTGAAGATTGAGCGCGCAAGATAGGGAAATGCAAATCGACACAGTTGTCATTTTTGGTGATTCACTCCGACTTCAACTTCTCAGGTGTCAGATCCAGTTTTGCCAGCTGCCGTCCAACCAGCGAGATAGTTATGCCACCGGAGAAGAATACACATGGCAGCCAGGAGAACAAAAGCGGGTCGGTCGAACTAAACGAAAGATGAACAAAGTAGGCCAACTTACTATATCACTCTACGGTCCGCAAGCAACTGACAGCTAGCTGTACCCAAAAGAGAAGTGCCAGACCCAATGAGAATTCCACCAAGTGAACGGTCAAACAACCACCAGACTCCCAAGGCCAGAGAAGCAATGGTAAAAAGAAGTTGCGAATTTGATATGAAATCGATCTTCGTTGTCGCATGGTTGATTCCGACAAAGAACACCAGGCATCGTATGACGGAGCACCATTCAGTCTCGTCAGGGTGCATCAGTTGTAGTTGAGTGCATATATGTGGTGACAGGAGCCCCCCGAACACTGTGCAAAGAGATTTAAAAAAATTTTTTGTTAGAAATGACACATACAAATAGGAAAAAAAAATATATTTTCCCTAGTTGACTTTATAAAGTCAAACAACGTGCCGGTTTTCAGGCTACATATCCGTATTGCAAAAAATACATGGGAGATAGAGACATTAATATGGTGTGTGGCCACTGGAAGACAAAGCCAAAGCTATTACCCGCTAGGAAGCCGCAGCAAAGGGGTATTCCTGAATTAGTTTTCAGTACGTGAAGCGAAAACTTGTCAGTAAATATTCCACTTCGACAGCCTTGCAGTAAACCGAACACATAATATAATCCGACACCCAATCCGAAAAGAAGCGTGGAACGCAACAGATAGAGAAGTAGTCTATTCATTATGCTAGAAAAGTTCAATGCCCCCGTCCTTTTATCCCAAAAACAGCAGAAGCGCCGAGAAAGCACAACGCACGCAAGGCCGGCAGCGAATTGGTGGCTTATCTGAAGGACATCACGCCATCCCACCAGGCGCCACAGTAAAATACGAGTAATCATTGTGAATTTATTTTGTATAATAAACAAATACGAAAATTTATTGCCAAAAACTGTAAAAATTGTTTTAAATTGTTAGTTCAGCCGCGGTGCATTTGATAGTGGCGATGGTTTCGAACTGTGGTCGGTTAAAGTATATTGAGTTGGATAACTACAAGTCATACAAAGGAAAACAGGTCATCGGTCCATTCAGTACATTCACTGCAGTTATCGGACCAAATGGATCCGGAAAATCTAACCTTATGGACGCTATCAGCTTTGTTCTTGGTGAACGCACGCGCCATCTCCGCGTCACGAGGCTTAGCGTATGCTGCTTGTCGTTATAATCACACTGTAGGACCTCATTCATGGTTCAGTCGTCGGGAAACCCGTGGCAAAAACTGCCAGTGTTACGGCCGTTTACGAGATGCCAGATGGTACAGAGAGACGTTTTAGCCGGTATATAAGCGGAAATACTTCCGAATACCGCATCGATGGCACAGTAAGGAAAACATTTATATGCGAACTTTTAGCCTGTAAAAGTTGACGAATACGCTGAAGCGCTTGAAAAAATACACATATTCATGAAGGTCAAAAACTTTCTGATTTTTCAAGGCGCAGTCGAAAGCATTGCTATGAAAAATGCACGTGAACGTTGTCAAATGTTCGAAGAAATTAGCAGGTGAGCGGTTGGCTACAACTGTTTTATTTCCTAGGTCTGCGGAGTTGAAGGAGGAATATGACAGATCCAAGGCTGAAATGCAGAAGTTAGAAGAAGAAGCCGCTTTCAATCTCAACAAAAAGAAAAACATTGTAGCTGAAAGGAAGGAGGCTCGCATTGAAATTGATGAAGCAGAGAAGTATCGGCGACTCAATCATGATTTGGTGAGAGCATATTCGACAACTTCACGTTTTTAAACTTAGTGTATATTAAGTATATTACAATCTTTGACATACCTTCAATTATTGACACATACTCATCAGAGGATGTCTCACTGCAAGAATATACAGGGTGCCCCACGAAAAACCCCTAAATTTATGATAATGTTTATACTGTTACAAAAATAAAAATTATTGATTACAATTATAACTTACAACTTTATTGTGTAATTAACAAACTGTTACCTAATAACAAGTTACAGATACCGCTCAAAATTCTGTCCATTAACTGCAGAATAGCGACGTAAGCTATCCATCCAGCTCTGAGCTGCTCGACGAATGACATCAAGAGGGATGTTGTTCCATGTGTCCATCAACATATGTGTGTGGCTTTGAACCATCTTGCTGCCACGTCCAGGGTTCTCCCTGCATTACTTGATCAATATCT